AACAAAACATCTTTGTCTTTCCCCTGTTTTGATAATGACAGTTAAAGCAGTTGGGAACGTTGAAGGGCAAAACGCGGGAGGCGCCTAAAGCAGACTGGAAAAATGCACGGTCCTCCTGACCTGAGGTGTAAGTGATTCAGCAAATGCCCAAAAACGGCCGCGTTTCGGGGAGTCTCTCACCGCCCGATATTTTTGGGGTGCAATGAGGAAGACTGAGCTGACAGTTAGACAAAGAGAGGAAGAGAGAGAGAGAGAGAGAAAGAGGAGGCCCTCCATTCTTATATATAGGAGCTTGGGATGTTGCAGAAATCTCACGTGTCGTGCCCAAGTCCCAGCCTCCCTCTCAACACAGAGGGAGAAAAACAGAGAGTGAGAGGAAGAACACCCAAAGAGGAGGAAAAAATCAAACAAAAGGGCTTGGTTCTTTGGGTGACGCTTCTCAGAGGAAACGACATCGTCGTTGGGAAAGTGATTCTTCCACTGCTCTGCTTCCTAAAATCCATCTTTTCAAAAGGGTATGTGGTATTTTTGTTTTTTGTATTTTCTTTTGTTCTTCTGAGAATTAAATTGAATGACTGGAAAGAAATGGGTTTATGGGTTATTGGGTTGTGATCTTCTTGAGCTCAAAAAAAAAAAAAAGAACTTGATGATAATAGGTGGGTTGTTTTGAAATTTTTGAATACAAAAAGAGGAAACTTTGATATTCACTATTGTATTAAAGAAAGTGAGAGAGAGGGTTGTCTTTAGATTGTATATGAATGGTGGTGGCTTCATTATTTTTGTCCACTTGCATAATTAAACTTTTGTTGGATCTATCAGATCCAAGAATTGACTTGCATTAGGCAAGTTGAATTGCCCCTTCTTGGGCACTTGAATATTGTTGTTGATTGTTTGATTGGTTCTTTGCGGCCGGATGTCTTTTCTAGAAGACATCCAAAAGGTCCTGCACTCTCCATTGTATATGGGAGAGATCTTATTGTGCTGTTGGATCTATTTGTATTGTGTTTACTTTTTAGCAAAAGATGATCTGGTTCTTATATGCTTAGTTTCGTGGGTTATGTATTACGTTAGAACCTCAAAACCTTTGATCCACTGGTACCCTTGCTTTCCTCCTTGAAAACAATGCCTTAACTGACCTAATCTCAGAAACAGGCCATTTCTTATGGTAATTCTCTAATACAAAATTGATAAATACTCTCACCAAAAGGGGAAAAAAAGATACCACCTCTGTAAAATAGTTTATAAATATGCAATTAATTATGCATATTGAATCCTTTTGATCTTAGATATATCTCTTAAACTGGTTATCATACTTCTGCAGAACCCGAGCTTAGACACTAATGTGTAAGGTAGACACCATTCATGAGGGATCTGCCCCAGTTTCCAAGGAAGTTTCCCGAACGATTCCTCCATGGCCTGGTCCTGTGACAAACAATTTTCATAAGGGGTTATCAATTGATGGATCACCACAAAGGGGGTACAGCTGTGTTTCTACAGCAACAAAAGATTCATGGGAGCGCCTCTTTGACGAAGGTTATAGAGCAGATGTTTCTGTTAATACTGATGATGGTGGCATTATCTATGCCCATGCTAACATTCTTGTAAGTTTAGTTATTCAACATCGATTAAGATATGTGAAGTGATCTTCTCTAAATTCTGTTGCAGTCCTCCTAGAGCCTTAATTTGATAATAGATGTGTTGTTGGAGAGAAAGGCCAAACTATTCAGGGTTTAATAGATGATTTTGTAAGTCACTTATTTATAAATTGCTTTACCACAAAATGATGTAGTCGTATCATATGAAACTTGTAAACACAGTCAAACTAATTGTAAGTAGACATTGCTTTCCAGATTGACATTGTTGCTTGTCAGTAAGATATGACAATGGAGTTGATATTAGGCATGCTAACATTGTATTTGGATGCTATTCTGACAGGGCATGGCTTCTCCTGCAATGAAAGGCTTGTTGAAGCAATCAAGCCGGTTTCGTCGTCAACGATCAATCTCAATTCTTGGAGTTCCACATGATGCAGTTCGAGTTTTTATTCGATTCTTGTATTCTTCCTGGTAATGATTTTTCCCCCATGGGTGCTTCTCTTTTACTGAATTTCTTGGAGTTAATGTGATGCCTAGGAATTGGCCATTAAGTGAGACTTCATACCTGAACGTAGGAGAGGATGTGAAACTTCATCTTTTAACAGGTTCTAGCTAGTACCTGTGATGCATGTTGGAAAACCAAGTTTGATAGTTTTTTCTTTCTTTCTGGTTGAATGCTTTGTTAACCTGAACAATACCAAGACCAATAAAACTTGAACAATACTACTAGAATATTAGAACATTTCTCCATTTTCAAACTAGCAGTGACACTTAATCCATTAAAGGATGTTATTGACACAAGTTTTGAAATTTGTTGCAATTCCAAGTTGGAACAATACTTTGTGTACTGATTGTTACTTGTGTTTCCTGTTTAGTTATGAAAAAAGGGAAATGGAGGAGTTTGTCGTGCACTTGTTAGTGCTTTCTCATGTCTACTTGGTTCCTCAGTTGAAGCAAGAGTGTGAGAAGAAGCTGGAGCATGGCTTGCTTACCACAGAGAATGTAGTTGACATATTTCAATTGGCATTACTGTGTGATGCCCCTCGACTTAGCCTCATTTGTCACCGTATGATCCTGAAGAACTTTAAAACTGTTTGTACAACTACAGGATGGAAAGTGATGAAGAAGAGTCACCCTGCACTAGAGAAGGAGCTCGTGGAGTCCATGATTGAAGAAGATAATGTAAGGGATCTGATTGGCTTCTTCTTCTGTTTTCTGTATCTTTATGTAGCACCATGGAAAGTCATGCTAAAGTTCATTCATGTTTGAATTCTTTTTCAGAGGCAAAAGGAGAGGATCAAAAAAGTAAATGAGAGGAAAATATATTTGCTATTATATGAGGCAATGGAGGCTCTTGTTCATATATACAAAGATGGTTGTCAAACAATTGGACCATCTGATAAGGACTTTAAAGAGAACCAGGCTCCTTGTAAGTATGTAGCCTGTAAAGGACTGGAATTGCTGGTTCGTCATTTTGCTGGTTGTAAGTTGAGAGTCCCTGGTGGTTGCATTCATTGCAAGAGGATGTGGCAGCTGCTGGAGTTACACTCCCGCCTTTGTGCTAATTCCCATACTTGCAGGGTTCCTTTGTGCAGGTGTGCCTACTAATCTTTCTTTGTTTTTTTTTCCTTTTTATTTCTTTTGATTATGGGGAGGGGGACACAATGGTCGAACTCCTGCCATGGGTGTGAGAGTAAGTGCTCTAATCCCTAGAGCTATAAGCCCCCATCCTTTTCCCATTTAGTTTCAATAACCGTTGCAGACTTGAGGTTAGAGCGTCCAACCCAAAACCAATTGGCAATGGGTGGAAAGGCAACAAGCCCCCTAATGTGCTGTAGGACTTGAGCCAAACACGTAGACAACTTATATTTAGTGACGTGGATCATGTGTGGCTCAGATTTGGGCCTACGTGGATTGTCTGTTTTAGTACCATGTAGAATTAAGAGCATTCAACTCCTCAAACCAGTTGACAATGGGTGGAAAGGTCTAAGACCTTATGTATTGTGTCGCAAAGCTTAAAGTTCCTGACGTGAGATTTTGTACTCTCGACAAATTTAGCTAACAGAGGCATGGAATACACTGCTTTATTGATTTAAGTAGGAGATATCATAGGCCAGTTGTCTATATAGGTTTGATGGTTGACGTTCTGAATGGTTTTGTTTTGTTTTAGACTGCATGCTATGTCTTACTCTTACACTAGGTTCTGAACTTTTTCACTCACTCTGGGAAAAATTTTCATTTCAGGAATTTTAAGGAGAGAATTAAGAAACAGAGTAAGAAAGACGAGATTAGGTGGAAAATGTTGGTGAAGAAGATTTTGACAACAAAGAGAATCGCAGAGTACATTTGTATTGATTAAACCAGTGTTCCTTTGTATCTCAATCTCTAATTTATAACAAGCAAAGAATCACTTCCTGTCTGTTCAAGAAATTCCGGAATCCTAGTTAACTCACAAATATAAAGACTTCAATGTGTATTTTGGTTCTAGAAAAAAAAAAAGGATCATGTTTAGTTTTAAGTATATTTGGGAAAGTAAAAGTTATATCTAAGAACTTAAATCTTGAACAACCATATTTATTAGTCTTTTCAGTCTTGAAAATCAATGTTCTCTCCGAGCATTTTCCATTTATTATAGGTCACTTTTGTAGCTTACCATTCTCCTTGGCAATCAAATGGATAAATATAAGAGCAGCATATTTACAGTCACGAGCTCATCATCAGGGGAAAATCTTGTATATCACAGGAATAATATTGTTTTGTCATCCCTAACCATTTACCCGCCGACAGTAGTGACTAATCCCTTTCGCCGCGGGAGCTCTCCCAATGGAGGTAAACGGCTGGCCACAAAATGCGCTCCATATATATCTAAGAACTTAAATCTTGAACAACCATATTTATTAGTCTTTTCAGTCTTGAAAATCAATGTTCTCTCCAAGCATTTTCCATTTATTATAGGTCACTTTTGTAGCTTACCATTCTCCTTGGCAATCAAATGGATAAATATAAGAGCAGCGTATTTACAGTCATGAGCTCATCATCAGGGGAAAATCTTGTATATCACAAGAATAATATTGTTTTGTCATCCCTAACCATTTAGGTTCCCCATGCGCGATAAAAATGGAACATAAAGCCATCTAAGATTGAAAATTTTGCGCCATTGATTTCTAGATTTATTTGGCTTTCATAAAGCCTAAAGGTGTTTACATTGATGGTTAGTCTTTGTTTGCTTTTCTTAAAGTGAGCTTATGTTTAAGTAGTGATCGAACTTGGGTTGTCCTTAAATATCTGAACTTTGACAATATGTCTCTTCTCCTTGCTCATTTCTTCAAATAGATTTGACATATTATCCAAGTGGGGTAGGGAAAAGAATTAAAGAAGACAACAATGCTGAAGAATAGCTACTTATTGTTGATTTTATAATTTATCAAATAAATGCAGACCCCAACCAACATCATGACCACCGACATCAAAACATTACGCTTCCTTCAAAATGTGTGGGACTCTGGATCTAGATGAAGAAACCTAAGCCTATCTATCGCATATGTGTTGGAGCAGAAAAAACCCAAAACAAAAAACAAAAATCTAAATATTTGTAACTTTTCTTTTCCTTTTTTCATCTGTTGTTCATGTTCTCATTTGATGCCTTTTCTTTTAGTTGGATGATCCTTCCCATAGCATATGCTCTTCTAAATATTATTCAATATTTAACTTGTTGGACTATGCATACCCGATTCTCATACAAAATCTGTTGCTTCCCCTGGGTAACTGGCTGGAACTCTCTCTATGTGGAATGGGATCTTCTTTATATTGGAAGACTTTCAAAACTCTCTCTATGTGGCATGGGATCTTCTTTATATTGGAAGACTTTCAAAAGTGCCTTCCCTTCTGCATTCTTCTACTCCTTTGACGTGCTTGTAACAAACAAAACCAATATACGGGTGCTGTCCTGCTGCTTCTTCAATTGGACGTATCATCGACGGCCGTGGTAGTATCCACCTAATAATTTACGTATCCTCCTAAAAGGTTCATGTGCTTCATATACACAAACTTCACGGTGACAAGCTTTCATCATCTGAACTGTTATCTTGTCTCACATTATACCTGTTGAGAACTGGTAGAGAAGCAGTTGCAGCTATCCGAAATGATCTAGCAGAGCCCACCAATGTTCTATCCTGCATCCTCCCCACTTCCTTGCACACTTGGTCCAAAACGTTTAGAAAATCTCTCACGATCATGAAGATTCTGAAAGGATGGGCTTCCTCCTTTGCTGTATCCCCATGAAAATACTCGGTGACCTCTTTCACCATATATAATGCCTTTCTTTCATCAGCCTTGATCCTAAGAATTTCCTCCTCCGCCTCTTTTAGAAATATCTTCATCGAGTTGAAGAATTTCCCTTGCATATCTGGTTTCTCATATTGTAAAACCAGTTTGACCTTCTCAAGCCCCATTTCAAGCTTTGACACATAGCCACTTAGGACATCCGAGTCCATTCCTGCTGCATTTTTTACGTTGCTGAGGTCTCTGCCCAGCCCTGCCACAATTTGCAATCCTTGCTTTTTGAAATCATCTTCCTTCGTATTGATGGGCATTTTTTTGGCATTCTCATTTGTGGAGTCAACCACTGAACCTTCAGATCTTATAATCTCTTGGACCACAAAATGGAGCAATGTGGTCTTTCCATCTGTTCCCTTTATGTCTACTAGTTTTAATAGTGTATCAAGTTTAAAAGATTTAGCATCACCACGGTTGGTCCCAACATTCATTCGGTTCCCTGTCCTGAGAACAGCTTCGAGGAGTTTAAGGAATAATCGACTGTTCTTTAGTTCTTCGCTTGCTTCCTGAAGAATGGCAAGATCTTGGGTGTGAGTTTTTACGTCAATGTTCATGGAATTAAGTAATCAAGAAAGCAATAATTGTCAATTTCAGAAAAAATACCTCCAGCGTTTGAAAAGACTTCCTCAAGTACTTCACTTCTGTATTAAAGTTAGCTCTGTATAGCATTGCTTCAACTCTCTTAAAGGCAAATGGGATATCAAGCACTGCCTTCAAAAAGCGTTCAGCAGTCCCTAATTTTGAGACGTCACACTGGTAGTCTCGAAGTTTAATTTCTTCTTCCTTTGTTGGAGCCATCTTTACCAGAGTTTCCAACAGCTCGGCGCCCAAGCCTTCTGGGTTACCTGTTATGAACAAGCACATAATGCACAAGATGCAGCAAATGTAAATAATACCATCGAAACATGGGAGGGGAGAGAGAAAGTTAACAAACTCTTACATCCTGTAGTAACTGCTATATGTTGACATCACGTAATGGAACTTTCACGGGGTGAATATGCAAGGATAAATGAGAAGAAAAAAAAATTATTTGTTGGATTACTATCCACCTGTGACTCATGCAAAAGGTGACATCTGGATATAGCTTTTATGTGTGCTTGTATAATTGTATTTTGAGTTCTAATGAATAGGAATGTTTGAAAGATTGACCATGTTTATCTGAATGTGATACATAATGGGTTAAGCTGCTGTACAAATTGAATGTCACACGTCAATCTAAATTCTATGAGGCTATAATTATAAGTAAACCAAGACTCACTCGCACCCAGATACCTTTAAGAAAGCCATTGGTAGCACTACAGGCTAGTTTAAACATCAGTGGCAGTAATTATTGCTTTTGCAGTTAAAATATAGGATAAAACTTCAAAGTATTGAACGCTTTCATCCAACAGGGCAATGTATTCCTGTTGACAAAGATTACACATGGATGCATGAACCTATTGCTTCCAATGCAAAACTCTTAAGACAACAGATTATATCTCACAAGGGAGGTTGTAGGGAATTGAAAAAACTTTGTTGGAAAAATTACTGGTTTATTAAATGTCAACTTCGAGGATAAAAAAAGAATCAGAAGCTGGAGCCCTATGATGATGAATGGTTAATGGTAGGATTTGGAACCAATCAACAGTGAGCCCACTAATGATGCCTGATGCTAGTAACTTGGTCTTATGGCTTTAGGGTATGACTACCCTTTTGCTGCTTTCAAGGATTACTCTTATCCGATCTTATAGGGTAACTTGTTAAACTGCTTTTACTCTTATTCAAGTAACAAAAATGCCTTCTTCTCACTTAAACTTTTAACTCCGACTTCTGTTTTTGAAATCCTCCTCCATCTCCTTATTCTCTTTCCCAAAAATTGGCTTAAAATATAATGCGTACCTCAAAATAATTTGTGTTACTAGAAACTTATTTAATTCATTATTTTGAAATGCTTTAAGAATTCACGATATCCACACAAAATAGAACTTACAATATCTATGAGTTTTATGAGTCAGGAACAATGGAAAGTGAATCTACAGACACATGGTTAGCTGTTCTTGGTAGACATTGCTATGTTTTCAGTAAATTGAGTAAAATATTAACTGAATTTGTTGAAATTTCTTTATCACCAAGGAGAATGAAGGAGCTAATTACTCATCCTAAAAGGGAAAGAAGAAGAAATCACTTACCATCTAAAAGAGAATCAGTGACCTCATCTCTTGCTACATTCAGTGCTCTCAATAGTATAGCTATGTTCTGTGACTTCTTTGGATCCAAAACCCTGTTTTCTTGTTCAACAGGAGGTAGAACTGATCTTCTAATAGGCTCTTTCGCTTTCGGGACCGAATTCGCCGAATTGCAGCCAAAAAGAGTCTCCATCATGTCTTCATTTAATCTACAGAGAAACCAATACATCACCAAAATCAGAATTTGCATACCAGAGCCTAAAAACAACAAAAACTAAACAATATGCAGCAATGCCAACTGAACCGAAACTACTCACTGGAATGAGCTTGATTTCAGCTGGTCCCATACTGTGGCTCGGTCCGAGGTTGCCCGAACCTTATCCCAGTGCAGAGGCTTCAACTTGGGCTTTGCCCCTCCAGCATCATCAGCTTCAAAACTCTCCGAAGACACCAAACTCTCATCAGCAACTGGCTCAGCAGTTTTTCTAGTCCCATTTTCAAAAGACCCTAATGGTATTGATGCATAGGATGATTGTGTCTTTGCTGACACTTGGGCTGACATTGCAGAAACCGTTTTAACTCTTTCCGAATCCCCAACTTCCTGCTGTCTCAATATCGGCGGTCGAGACGGTGGAGGTGGCGGCGGAGGTGGAACGGGAGCTCTAGATACCCGCGCTAAATTTGGTGGCGGTGGCGGAGGGGAAGAGAATTTCGGCTTCTTATGAGAATAAGATGGAGCTCTTTGTTGCGCATCGCGGGCTTGCGTCTGAATTGGCATTGGTGGCGGCGGAGGCGGTGGCGGCGGTGGTGGCGGAGCAACCTGGTTCCTTGTGGTAGAAGAAACCGAAAGGCGCGATTTTGGAGAAGTTCTTTTGGAATGGGGAATTGAATTTGCCACATGAATCGGAGCACAATTGGCGCCTCCATTGACACTGCCTTGCCTCGGCGTGTAGTAGCTGTCGTCATAGCTGATAGAAGAGCAGTTCGGCGAATGAAACGCGGTTTCATGGCTCTCTTCGTCGGAAGACGACACGGGAGAAGGCGAGTTGAGGTTCTGGGGAGGCTTGGACAGAGGAGGCAGCGGCTGCAACTCGGGACTCGGCCGATACCGATCCGATCTTTTGACCGAGTTGAGCCTATGGTACGGCGACCGGTTCAATTCGGCTGTTGTGGGTCCACTCACGGCTTCGCTGCTGGTCGTCGACGTACGGCTGGGCTCGACTGTGCCAATGTAGAGGAAGCTGGAGGGTGGGATTCTCGGGTCGTCTGCGAATCTCTGGGAATCGGGTCCTCCGCCATTGACGAGTTTCTCAGACTCGGACGGG